AAATATATGAAGTTCATATATTTTGAACTGCGGTATTAGATACGTATGATGCACGATCCTCGCAGTAGATAGCGCTATTTAAGCAATAGCGAAAATCAGACCTGAAAAAAATCAGGCCTGTACGGGATTCGAACCACTGACCTCTGCGATACTAGTGCAGCGCTCTTACCAATTGAGCTAACAAGCCAACTGGGAGCAGGCCATTAAGTTGATTCGTAATAAACTGCTTCTTTGTAGCACCTGTTTGATACTAGTTCATACTATTCGTCAAAATGTGGAGCAGGGCTTGACAATAACTTTTCAACTTACTTAAGCTAAGTGGCTAGGGACTTCTTAGATGTTACAATAGTTTCAGTTTGTTTACTAGCCAAACTGGCTAGTGGAAATCGAAAACCACTGACCAAAACTGAATTTCTACTAGTCTGTGGTTAGTTGGCTACCATTAGTGTCAAGCCCTGTGGAAGACACCTGAACAGTACTTTACTATTGTGTAATGGAATTAGAGTCAAACTCATTGAGTCACTTATAAGCTAATTAGACATGTATGATTATTTTCAAAGCTGATGAAATACCAAGCTATGCCAGGCCAACCACATCATCTCAGCAGCGATACAGGAAAACGCCTCCATTGACAGAGTACTTGGATGATACTGCTCTGTCAACATCAACATGGCCGTGGGAATCACTTCCGCCTACTCAGGGAAAAGATAAGAGAGATTTGAATACAATGCCACTCCCTAATGTAAGTATTTCCTGTGGAATCAAAAAAGTAAAACTTGATGAACTTCTTTATTTGTATTTGTTTTTGAAGTGTGTTTGAAAAGTTGCATGCATGTGCATGCTTTTTTTTAGTGCTTTTTGCGTCCATGGTGGGCCAAGTAGCTCTGACCTGTGCTGTACTTACAGCTTTTGCCTTGACTATCTGGTTCTTCAAGCCTTGATATTGTGACTTTTTTCCCACTGTGAAATTGGACAGTATGTAGATATTAGAATTTGATGAATATCAGCTTTTGAGTTTACCAATTTAAATTGACTTTATCTCAGTCAGTAAGAGGCTGAAATAACAGATTGGAAGATTTAAACTTTATCAAGCTTCCATTAATAATTACTAATAATTATGTAACTGTGTTCATTTTTTTTTTTCAGTTTACTTCTACATGAATTAACCACTATTTTAAATTTACATTTAAATTTGTAATTTCTTTCTTCCTAAGGCAAAAAGCAGGCACTCCAAGTCTTCAGTCTGGAAAGAATCTATGAAACCAGATAAGCGACAAGCAGAGCGGGAAGATCTTCAAAGGTTACAGAGCAAGGCAGAGTACAAAAGAAACCCACGCTTTGTGCCCCCATGCAAAGGAGGCCTCACAAAAGCAGCCAAGGAGAAAAAGAAAAAGAAAACAGAAGTTGACAAAGAAAGACCTAAGTAAGTACAGATTACATTTAAACTCATTAATTGCATTTGAACTAATTATTTTTTCACATCCTGTCTTTAAGTCTTAATACATGCCTGCATTTAAGTTTGCTTGATTTTCTTCTTTAAAACTCAGATCTGCTGATCCAGTTGAAGTATTTATTGCCTCTCCATCCCCTGTGGTATTTACAGACTATGAAGTTGGTCAAGTTTATGAGGTACCACTTGCATGTGGCAGAATTTTCATATGGGAACTAGTGATTCTGAGTAAAAAAACCAGCCCTCCTACACTAATTCAGTCTGGGCAGTAATTCGTTGATTGGATCTACAGCTTAAATGTTGTAGGACTGGTATATTCTCAGTCCGTAGATATCAAGTAACTCTAAACTTGTCAAGCTCGACCTGTAAGAGAATTACTGTGTATAGGAAAAGGCTGGATTACATGGAAGGGGATAGAATGATGGTGGCTTGCTGAAGAGGAACTGATCAGTTGGCTATACCCTGAATCAAGACATTTTAGTTTGAGCAAGCCACTTCATTCTCACAGTGTAGAATAATTAAAATGAAGGTATTAAAAGCTCTAATATTGATTAAATTTCTTTCAGCTTCTTTTAGACCTGAAAAATGTGTCATCATCAAGTCGCCAACTGAGGATTACTCCACCAGCGACAAAATACTTCTCTGTTGGATTAGGGAGATTCCCTGGTGAACATGGTGTGGTCGCGCCAGGTCTCAGCTGTCAGTATCCAATCAAATTTGCTCCTGATTCCCTTGCAGACTATGATGATATAATTAAGGTAAATTTACAAGGAAATAACAACTGGCATTATTTTGCATTGTGTAAGGTTCTATATGTACATGACTAACTTTAATTTGAACAGCTATTAAATTGTACTAGTCTAGTTATACTAATTGGTCAACCAACCGTGAAATTCAGACCTTCCAATCAATTGTATTGCGGACGGTAACTTAACTGACTGGTATGTAATTTGACTGTAGAAATTGTAATGACACAAAAAAGTTGAATTTGGTAGTTTTATGAAAAGAATGATTCCAGCCCGGCCCCAACCATTTACGTAGGAACTATCATGTTAATTTATTTTGTCATTACTTTGTATTTTTGGTGATGGACAGAGCTTGAGATCAATTTCAAGGTGTTCATGGTGTCTTTTGGTAATTTTTTTTAAGCTCTCGTTTGAGAATTTTTTGTTGAAGTTTGGACAAAGTTGAAATGTTGATGTAACTGCAAAAATTATTACATGACTTTGTATAAATCAGTCTCAAGTGATAATAATTTTTTGGAAATTAGGTTATTTTTTTATGATCAATATACTGATTTGATAAGTTGTGTTTTATGAATGGTCAATGTTTTAGGTGAAAACCCAGGTGGACCCTCCAATGATAATCTCCCTTCAGGGCAGACGGCCACCCCCTGTGCTGAATTGTGAGTTAATTGTTTATTGTAGCTACATGTGAATAAAGGCTGATAGTTTTGAAAGAAACTGTTTGGGGCTGCGTCGGTGGGAGTAATGAAATAATTTGGATATATCAACAAAGTTGAAATGGTAAATTGGCCACCGTAAGGATTACAAAAGCTGATGTTTAGAGTGTTAGCCCTTCGTCGGAGCAAAGGGCTAACACTCGAAACGTCAGCTTTTGTAATCGTTACAGTGGCCAATTTACCCTTTCAACTTTGTTGATATATCCAAATTATATTGTAGCTACAGTTCATTTCAAATCTACATATGAGTCTGCTGAAAGTGTTATTGTAATCTGCTATAAGCATTTGATATACAAAAGTCATATTTGACACATGATAGCAACCATTTAATGTAGTAGAGAAGAGTGCAATTTAGCCCTTAATCAATTGATAATTTTAGTTCATTCACATGGGAGAACAGGGAATGAATGCAAACCACAAATCTAAATGATGATTTGAATGAGTGTTGCAATACATTTTAGGATTGTTACATCTGATAATTTGCCTAGTTTTCATTTTCCTAATCATATTCCACTTTTCAGTCTTTTCTTTTTCAATATTTTTGATTTTCTGATTTTTGTCAGTAACTGAATCAACGAAGAAACTACTGGAACTGATTCAATTTTTTTTTCTCTACAAACATAATTTTTTTGCAACTGTATAAGCTCCCGTGCATGGGGTTTGTTCAGATATTTACAAAATTTTTTATTGATTTTGCATTATTATAGATAAATGTATTATAGATAAATGATCAATTTTACCATCTCACTTCCTGAAATACATATATCTTATTAGACGTTTTGTTGTGTAGTATCGCTGAGTATTTTTACGAGTTGTGCTATGTTTTAACGAGCCCGTAGGGCAAGTCAAAATACAAATAATGAGTAAAAATACTCAGCGATACTACACAACAAAATGTCTACTAAGTTATTTATTATCCAAATCGCCAAACTGTTATTGCAGTGCTGGCGAATTTCGCGGATGTTTATTTATGGGGAGTGCATGACAGAAGTATGCGAAGGGGAATGGAATTAGCGCGTTGTCGTGTTGCTGTTTCTATTTTCTTCATTAAATGAAGAAATTTTCTGGTCGTCAAGTTGTTTTCTTCGTTCGATTCATCTAATAAACTTTGACCCATATTTGCCAGCCATTCTGACTCTTCGTTGTCAGAAATATGATTCGAATTGTCCACCACTTATTTTTTTTTTTCGTAACTACAATCCAATTCTTTGCTTGCGCGATGCGTAAAAACCTGTTTAACTGGTACTCTACAATAGACGAGTACAAATACCACGTGATATTTGTACCCGTCTATGGCATTATTTGTACTCATCTAAGTATAGTTGGATAATAATGTACATGATTGTGACAGCACTCCCTTTGTACAGTTCATGCTAATTGCTAAGACATGTGCCCAACCCTTGCTTCTTTATTATGTTGGTTTCAGTGTCTCCAGTACTTGACTGTGGTCATACTTTGGTGGGAGGAAAGAAAGTTGTTCAGCTTGTTTGTGAAAACAAAGGAGGCGATGGAAAGTTTTGCATTATGAGGAAATCTTCTTGGCCCACGACAAGTTTTGAGGTACGAACTTCAATTTAAGGGAAATACATGAACCTGCAGATTGAAAATTTTGCAAAAGAGCATTGGGAAATCTATAGGTGAAAAAAAAAAAAACAGAGAACTGAAAAATAGTAATTTATAGAGATTTACAGTACAATGCAAAAATTAAAACAAATTAATTATCTGTTACAAAGACTTGTGCAAGAGCCTTTGCTTAACGAATATTTCTACACGAAAAATATTCAAACAAACAAAAAAGGCAACCCAAGTCGGTTTGAGATACATGTAGCTGAAGACTCCACTCCCATGACTTTTCCTGGTCTGTCTTCGGTGTAGTTGCCTACGATGTATGGAAATTGAAAGGTAGAAATTGTTTTGATTGTTTACTTTTATTTTGTGTTGTAGGGGACCCTTGAAGATCCCGGATCAGTTTTTGCTGAACCATTTGAACTAAAACCAGCCATGTTCAAGCTGGGCGCTGGAGAAGTGACCACTCTGGAGGTAAAGAAGACCCAGTAGTTTATAAATAAATTAGTTTGCTTGAATCTTAGCGGTAAGATGTTTACAACATCAACCCTAAAGAAATGGAAAGAGAAACTTCTGTTAACACAAGCATGGAACTTCCCCTCAGGGACTTGAATCTCAGTACCCGGACCTTTGAATGTCGTTGTCTATTGCTCTACCATGCAGTCAAAAATGTTTATTATTGTTTCATTGTTGTATTCCAGATCACATTCTGTCCTACTTCTGCCAAGTACTTCAAAGAGGAGGTTGTGTTTGTTTGTGACAACTGTCATGTCAAGGAGTTCTCTATTGAAGGTGAGCAAACTGTCTTAAAAATTTCACAAAACTTTTTCAACAAAATATATATAAAAAATCAATACTCAGTTCTTATTAACCGAGCAGGAGGTCTGTATGGGAGAATCTTGACCAAGGTCGCCAAGTACAGACCAAACGCAATGAGGTCTGTACCAAGATTCTCCCATACAGACCGACCTAGCTCAGTTAATAAGATGTTTATTATATGGCTGTGTACATCTTATATACTAATTTTCTATATTCTTTGTACCTTTTTTTTCTAGACCGGTCTAGATGCCGGTCTAGATGGGAAAATCTAGACTGCTTTCAATATTGATTTCAGCCGATCAAATTTGTGAATTCAGTAGCTGTTCCCAGTTCTCGTGAGACACAGCCATATAATAAAAGAAAATATGAAATGTTGAGCTCTGAGTCGACACAAGTAATTTTTTTTTTCTTTATGTTGTATATTGCATTTTACTCTCCCTGATAATAAAAGATATGATGCTGGTTGGTTGATGTATTCTTAGTTAAATGATAACTACAGCTTTTTCCAGATTTAAAATAAATTATGTACTCAGCATGGTTTCGAGAACTCATTTTCTTCACTGTGTTATTTTCTTTATAGGCACCATACTGTCCATGCATAAATACAGAGCTGAATATTTTTTTTGAATGTTGACTGTTTTTGCCGCTGGCTTTGTTGCATAGCTGTCTTACACTAATTGAAATTTGATGGGAAAATTTGTATTCGCAACAGTCATTTGTGACTTTGAGAAGCAAGGTCAGACTGTAAATAGGTATGGATTTTAAAGGTTTGGGTCATAAAACAGTTTGGACTTAAATAGCATGTATGAGGATATCATATATGATCTGCAAAGGAACTATGAGAAGGTATTTGTCTTTTTTAAGTCATTTCCCTCCCTATCTCTACCACTAATTTTAAATTAATGGAGCAGATTGGGAAGAAAATGACACAATCATACAACATTCGAGCTGAATATTTTTGTGAATGTCCACTATTTTTGCCCCTGGCTTTGATGCAAAGCTGAATTACGCTAATATAAATTTGATGTGAAAATCTGTACTCGCAACAGTTATACGTGACTTTGAGAAGCAATGCCAGACTGTAAATTAATATGGATTTTAAAGGCTAGAGGTCGTAAAACAGTTTGGATTAAAATAGCATGTATGAGGATATGATATGATCTGCAAAGGAACTATGAGAACGTATTTGTTTGTTGAAGTCATTTCCCTCCCTATCTGTACCATTTATTTCTAAATTAATGGAGCAGATTGGGAAGAAAATGTTTATTGGAATTGGATTAGAAAATCTCTATTCGCAACAGTCATTTGTTACTTTGAGAAGCAAGGTCAGACTGTAAATGGCTGGTATAGATTTTAAAGGTTAGGGTCAGGTCGGAATACGGTTTGGAGTAAAATAAAGGCTAATAGTTTCTAAAGAAACTGTTTGGGGCTGCGTCGGTGGGGGTAACGAAATAATTTGGATATATCAACAAAGTTGAAATGGTAAATTGGCCACCGTAACGATTACAAAAGCTGACGTTTCGAGCGTTAGCCCTTCGTCGGAGCGAAGGGCTAACGCTCCGACAAGGGCTAACGCTCAAAACGTCAGCTTTTGTAATCGTTACGGTGGCCAATTTACCTTTTCAACTTTGTTGATATATCCAAATTATTGGAGTAAAATAGCTTGTATGGGGTCAAGATTTGTAGAACCACAGGCACATCCCTACCAAGAACTTCCAGGAATGCCACTTCCGTCTTTCCCTGGTGCACATCCTGCTTCCATATTCACCGTGTCATGTGTTTTTATAGGCTCAGGTCAGTTGGCCGGAGTGGAGCTTGACTCCGTCTCAGGAGGACTCAATGAAGCAGAAATTGGAGAAATAACAGATATATCTGCACAGCATTTTATAAGATTCAAAGAACAGAACCCAGAAACAACAACAGAGAAGACACTAGTTATCAAAAACACAACGTGAGTCACTGAGCATGTTCTTACTTAACCAGTCAGGAGTGTGTATTTTTTAAGTCTCTTTGGGCTGCCCCAGTCCGTGCTTTTGACAAAGTTTGTCGCGCGAGTCCAAAAACTCGGTAAAGCAAAATGGTGATGTTAGCGCGTCGTGCGAAACTCTGACCAGCGCGACGGACTCTGCCGAACAGGAGGGACTGCTCGTTGTCTATCCTAACTTCAGTCGGGTGCTTTGAGCAACACTGTGAATCGTGTAATCCTTACATACTAAAGAGCTTCATAAAAGCTGCGAAGCTCATTGTTCTCCATCAAATTCAATACATTATCAACTTTTCGTTTTGTACAGGAATGTCCCCCTACCTTTCCGTTGGAAACTCTTCAAACCATTCTTTAGGTGTCCTGTGGTTCCTGGTATGCCTGTGCAATCGCCGATTACATCATCGCACACGCCACGGAGTCTGGATGATAACGGAGTGTTTCGGGTCACGCCAAATATGGGTACTTTGCCGCCTCAGCAGTCGGTGGATTTCATATTGGAATTTGAACCAAGAGAGGTATCGCGCTTTGAACAATTTCTCACCTCATTGTGTCAGTTCAGTTAAAATACAGGAAAGTTAGACCAAAAAAGTTATTAAAGTTGGTTTAACCTCTACGATGAAAAGAGGAATTGTTCTCATTCTCTCTCAATTCCGATTTCATATTTGACAATTAATACCCATGGTAAGTATGGCACCTCAATTTATTTTAAAGATTACAGAGCTGGCTACTTATTCTAGATATCCCTTCCTCTTTTAAACTGTGTGCCTTTATCAGATTATTTGAGCTGCATCGTCACTGTCATCCATTTACGAGTCCAATTTTTTTATCATACAGAGCCAGGTTTTGTTCAAAGCTGGGCTAAGATAACTCAGGGTAAGAGTGAAATCTGATTTCGGATCTGAAGGCTTAATAGGAAAATTCATCAGAAGTATTTTTGCTTACAATTTGGTGATGAATGCTGTAAACAGAATATAGAAACTTATCCGAAAAAGGCTTCTGAATCAAGGAATAAAGAAACCCGGTTTAAAATTTAACCTTGGGTTAGCGCTAATCGGCCTTAGAACAACTGGGCTCTGAACAGTAATTTTGCTGCTAAAAAAACTGAATATTGTGTAGAGTATCATAACTACTGGTTTCCAACGCAGAAAAATAAAAATTCTGAATGGATGAGTTCACCATTCTCGATCTCTCTCTCCCATTTTCATCGTAGGTTGGCAGTTTTCACGCTGTGGGTCATATGATTCTGGAGGAGATTCCAATTTATGATGACGAGGGTTCTACCACACATGATGTAAAAGACGTGACAGCAGTGCAAATAGAAATGAAAGCTGTTAGCAAAGTAAAGTATTTGAACCTTTACTTTTCTTCCATATGACAAAACCGTGCTTTGGAGAACAAGATGCAGTTAAGCGCGACCCTTGGCAGATGCGACCTTTGTTAGGCCTTAAAAGTCGGTCCAATCAATCCCGTAAACTTTCATAATCTAATGAGTAAATCTCACTTTTGGCTGCCATGCGTTCTCATATTAATCGGTAAAGATGTTGTGGTGTTACACGTTAGTCAACATCAACCCAAGGAGGTTGTTTATTTACATGTGTTTGCTAGATAATTTTGGCATCCTGGGAGAGAAGTTACAGGTTTATTGCTAGCATTTTAGGGCTCAAATGGTTGTTAAGCAAGGGGCTGGTGGAAAAACAGTCCTCACAATGATGAAGTAGTCGACTGTCGTCCAGGAAACGTCTGTCATCGTCATCAGAAACAGCCGTTTTCAGAGCTAAGCTCCCCCGCATGATTGCACCGTATGATCATGATAATATGATGGAATATTTGTCGTGGATGATCTGTATAATAACTGTCAATGACTTTGTATTTTAGCCTCTTGATGTGAGTGTCTCTCCTCCAGCGATTGTTTGTCCTGGGACATTAACAATAGGTGTTTCGTACAGATTTCCCTTTAAGGTCAGTACCTGAACATTGCGTGTTCTTATCAGTGATCGCCAAGCATTTCTTAATATGAGGACGCCGTAGATGTTCCCTTTTGAGGAAAAAATAGCTTTCTCGGGTGCTCTATTTAAGTCGCACAACTTGCATGTAAATTTTGGAAATAAGACAGAAGACAATCCCTATTCAAACAGAATAAAACATCACGCTGAACGCGAGCGATTATATTAATTCCCTAACTGTCTTGAGCCACATCTTAGTAATTCTTGACGTGTTGAATACTTGGTTCAGTTGACTCTCTCTCTCGCTGCTATTAACCTTACTTTGTTTTTATTTCCGTTTAACTCATTTTAAGAAACTTGCAAGACAATGATTATACAATGCAAAGCATGTTTTGCAATGTTTTCTACAATCTTAAAAGCAGTTCACATTCCCTGTTACCCTGCTTGCAGTTACAATACTAATTTACTTTTCAACCTCTAAAAAGTTCAAGAAAATTAAGTTAAACTCTTTTATATTGTAATCACTTTCTAAATGTATTGAAGTCGAAACTGTTTTATTCCTCTGTGTGGACAGAATTATTACGTAAACATTTGGAGTTTTTTGGATCCTTGTAATGTTTATACTAGTTGTCGAAGGTAATTTTATATGTTCGCATTTTCTACTAACTGAAATTTATCTGATTTAGATGTTTAACAATAGCGTCTCAGAAGCAAGGGTTTCCTGGCGAAAGGTAGAAGGAACATCGTGGAGAGCGTCAGTCGAACCGAAATTGTCTGTGATAGGTACAGTGCCATTTTTTCTATCAATCCTCTCCACTTTTAACCTTAAAAGAGGCCATTTTACAGTTGTGTGCTTAGTTGCCAAGCCTTTGGTAAAAAGTGAGACTGAAGGTGGCCTTGATGAGATGGAGATCAGTATCTAGTTAGCGTGATAACAAGGTGGTTTACATTTGAAAAGCAATAACGTCTGTATCATAGCAAGGTCACTCTTAACCTCACTTCTGTTCAAAGGCTTGGCAACCCAGCACACAACTGTGAGATAGTAATAGTAATCAAAGTTTAATGTCGTTTACGTGGGGCATGGTTACCAATATGGCCCGAGCCAGAGGCTCGTGTATGAAACGCAAGACAACAACCCACCCATCCCACCCAGGGGAGGACATCCATCACACAGTAATCTCGTGCGTGGGAAATTAACGTCTCCTACCCCAACCCTGCAGGAGACGGGACCTCCATTTATTCGTCCCTATCCGAGAAGACTAGAATATCTAACCATTTCTTGATGTTANAGGTAGCGTACACGACATGTCTGAAGACCTTCAGTGTTGGTCCGGCCGGGGCTCGAACCGTCGACCTCCCGCACATCAGTCCAGCGCTCTATCCATTGAGCTAACCGGGAGGCTAGCTACTATTCCAAAGATCAGTAAATAATCTCGTTCCAAGGGCCTTTTCTCTTTGTTGGGGGCGGGGCGCCAACTTACGGAAAAGGCCCTGGGAACGAGGTTGATCAGTAACTCTGCTTCCAAGCTACTGCGTATTACTTGGTAAATAAAGCGCAGAGAATTTGATGTTGGATCAAGGTTACTCACTCTAGGGGATTAATTTGTGTATTTCTAATCACTTTTTTGCTGGATAATGCATTGACGCTGGGAGGAAAAGACGCAGTTTTTGCATCTATTAGCGAATGGTTTTGAACAGAAGCGTTCAAATCAGGGTTAAGATGTTTTGTTATTTCACCTACCCTTGCTGACTAATATGCTTTTTAAGTCGAGTTAATTATTGTGCTCGTCGTAAAAAAAATGAAGACGTCTTACCTTTTCAATCAGGCGCTGGACAAGGAGCCAACCTGGAGTTAGTTCTTGTGGCTGATGAACCAATTCACATAGAGAAGACGATACTTTGTGACTTGAAGCACTCGTCAGCTCCTGTCTATGTTTATGTAAATGCCAGTTTTAAAGTAAGTTCTCTGGGAAGTGCAATTTTCTGCTCCGTAGTAAAACTTACCAGTGAGGTAAATGGTACCATATTTTCCTTAATGCAACATATAATCTTCGTGACGTGACGTTAACAGCTCAAACTTCCTCAGTAATTTTTTTTTGTGTGTGTGCCTTTCTTTCTTTTAGGGACCAGAGGTTATTTTCACCTGTCCGGACCTGAATTTCAATCTCGTTCGCTTCAGAGAACTTAACGGCTATGAACACATAACTATAAGGAACATTTCAAATATTTCGGCAGAGTGGAGCTTAAGGGAATCACCAGAGTGTGTTCAGGTACAAAAAAACAAGAAACAGTCATTGATGATTTGAGCTTTATCTATACAATGAGGTCAGTGGTTCGAATCCCGTACAGGCCTGATTTTTTTTCAGGTCTGATTTTCGCTATTGCTTAAATAGCGCTATCTACTGCGAGGATCGTGCATCATACATAAATATCTACTTAGTTGAAAAAAGATTTAAAGTGATAAGTTTATTTTAGTTAGTCCCTTAGTTTTCTCTTTTCCCTTAATCGAAAAGCAGATCTCTTTTCCCTTAATCGAAAAGCAGACACATGACGAGGTGGCTGTTTCTCAGTTTTCCTTCACTCCCTCGTCCGGAGTCCTGGGTCCACAAGAAAGCAAGGAAGTAGCTGTGCTGTATACACCGGCCAACACAGGCAGAGTGAGGACTGTGTTCCAGTGTGATGTCAAGAATGGAAAAGCAAGGTACGAGGCGACATTTATTTTCAATCGAAAATCCAGTACTGCAAGAATTACGAACGCATTATAATCAAGACACCGTGGAGTTGATTACGGCTCCGGAAACAGTCAGCCGGCTATTTTATGGGGCTTTTTTCATCGCACGTTTATAGCGATATCAGAAATGCTGATTAATTGAGCTAACCGCCTCCCGGTTAGCTCAACTGGTTAGAGCGCCGGATTGTGTTGTGCGGGAGGTCGAGGGTTCGAGCCCCGGCCAGACCAATACTCATGGTCTTAAAATAAGTGAGGAGAATCTGCTACCTTTCTACAATTAAGAAATGGATAGATATTGTAGTCTTTTTGGATAAGGACGAATAAACCGTAGGCCCCGTCTCCTGCAGGGTTAGGGGTAGGAGACGTTAATTTCCCACGCACGAGATTACTGTGTGGTGGTTGTCCTCCCCTGGGTGGGATGGGTCGGTATTGGCCCTGAAAACCCCCTTTGGGGAGTGGTCAATTAACCTGTGTATGTATGTATGTACAGTCTCGCACATCAAAATATGGCAATGTGCATACAGGGGTTCCACGCTTA